TTATAGCAACTTTTCAAGTACTTTAATTTAGTGAAAACTACTTTAATAAAATGTTAAGTACTTTAATAAAATTAATTGAACTACTCTTTTTTTCTTCAAATATAAATTCAAACTATTATAATGTGACTTTAACTATAATGTCAATTAACTAGTTTTTTAAAGTAGAAACAAAGGTAGTAATTAATGGGAATACTAATTAACTAATTAACTACTTTAATGAAAAATGTAACAATTAGTGGGAACACTAATTAACTAATCAAGTAATGTTAATACAAAATGTAAGTAATAAGACAAATGTATGAATGTGTATACTAATTAATGGGAGTAAATGAGTAATAGAATGATTTTAACTAATATTAATCAAAGTGTAACTAATATATAATATATTGTGTAAGTATATATATACTTAAATATATTAATTAGATGTAATAAAAGTAATATATTAGTAAAAATCGAATATATATATATATATATATATACTTAATATATATATATATATATATATATATATACACTTAATATACTAATTAATATAGTTCGAATTAATTTGATATAATTCCAACTATATTAGTAGATAATAAGAACTGTATATAAGACTTTATTAGACTTTATAATAATTTGTAACTAATATATAATATAATGTTTATAGTATATAATATATAAGTATACTACTATAAGATGAATAATACACTTATATTTAATACTTTAATATATAAAGTATATACTTCATATTAAGTAGATGTAGAATGTATGTATTAAGTAGATATAAGTAGATAATGAGTAGAGATTAAGTAGATAAGAAATATAAGTAATATAGTATATGTATTTATAAGTAGATAATTAATATATAAGTAGATATAATAATTGTATAAGAATTAAATAGTAAAATATAATGGAGATTGGAGAATAAGAGAATAAGTAGATAAGAAATATAAGTAGAGAAGTAGATAATAGTATGTATTAAGTATATACTAATAGTAGATAAAGTATATTTAATACTTTAATATATAAAGTATATATTAAGTAGATGTAGTATGTGTGTATTAAGTAGATATAAGTAGATAATAAGTAGATAATAAGTAGAGATTAAGTAGATAAGAAATATAAGTGATATAGTATATGTATTTATAAGTAGATAATTAATATATAAGTAGATATAATAATTGTATAAGTATTAAATAGTAAAATAATAAAATATAATGGAGAATGAGAGAATTTGAGAAGATGAAAATCCAGATGAGTAGAGAGTAGATAGTAGGATTTAGGAAGAGTTGGAGAAGAGGTGTGGAAAAATGTTTAAAATTAGGGGTATTTATAGTTTTTTTACCCCCGCCCCCCCCCCCCCCCCCCAAATGGCCCGGACCCCCCTACAACCCACCCAACTTCTAGTATAGCCGTTTGGGAAGTGGGCGCCCAGCCAAACAGCCCTTTTTTGCCCAACAGATTTTTTTTAGATCTAACCGTTGTGACTCGGGCCCGACCCGGCCGGGCCGGGTCACCTTTTATCGGAACCGAGCCCGCCCCCCGCTACTCCCCCGGTTCGGGTAAACACCCGGTCCCGGACCGCTGGGCCGGGCCGGTCCCGGTCCCGCACAGTACCGGGCCGGGTGGGCCGAACCGAATTCAAGACTATTTAGTGGCCATCATCAAGTAACCGTCGTTTAGTTACTTTCGTCGCCGTCAGCTGCCAGTGATCACAACCCTGCCTGGTCACGACCATCCAATCCATTTACCACCCCGCCAACACATGCACCCTTACCCCTACCTCGCCCCCTCCCCGTTGTCCAACCACATGTTCAACCCACCTCCCTGACCGCCGCACCCCGATCCCACAACCCTAACCGTCCAAAATTAACTGCACGGGCACATCCCCGTAGATCTGAAACTTGGCCATCCCTCGTGTGTCATATGGGCCGGCGCTCGAATAGAAAATGAAGGAGAAGAGAAGGCGGTGGCGTTTCTAGCTTTCCAGACCGCAACCGTCTCGTTGACCTCGTTGATGGTGATGCGATGACAGAGAAGTCAGTGAACGACGAAGATGATGGATGCGACACAAAAATGAAAATAGAAAATGTTTGATGCTCAATGAAAATGTGGTGATTTTCATCTCAATAAGAGATGTTTGATGCTTAATTAAAATGTCGTGATGTTCAACTAACAAAACTTACGATTTTCATATTAATCGCATTTTGTAAGTTACATGTGCTCATTTGATATTGAGGTTAGGTTATGCTCATTTGTAAAATGTCATATCACTGCATATTTCAAAAGTATCATATCACATTAAATTCACATATTGAAATTCGTAGGAATGGTTTATACATAAAATTTAATAAGTTTTATTAAAGAAAAAAAGTGAATTAGAACTTAGAAGATATGAAGTAGTGAAGACGATGCTCATTGTTAAGCTCCTAATACGCAATAAAATAGGTCAAAACTATGTTTGGCACAACGAGCTAAAATTGGAGGCTAATGTCTTAAATAGGGGCTATTGTCTGAACGAGAGACTATTGTCTAAAGCTAAACTTTGGAGTGCTGAATCTGAATCGTTAGCTGAATGGAGTAGACCCGTTTGGCAAAAAGAACTGACAAAGTGCAGGAATAATACCAAATTACATTAAAGAGCATATGATTTATTAATATACTCTGTAATAAAATATATTTATTATAATGATTTTTATATTTACAGTTTTTGTTAAAATTTTACTCCGTAGTACAAACCAATTTTAGGACCATAACCCGTTTGGAAGAAATCCAACATTGATCCATTAACCAAGTCATTATAGAAACACATAAGCAGTATACTAGTGCGGGCGGATGAAATCTCAGGTGAAAGCAATACACAAACAAATGTATAAGTGAAAAGTAGTTTAATTAATTCACACCTTAAAAAACGAAAGCAGGTGAAGACGAATTATTTGGAGAAACTGATCACGAGATGATCAGGAGGATAAGTTGGGAACCCAATTATTTTTTTATTTTTTTATATTTTATAACCGGCCGAATTCAAACGCTAGGGCGGATAGTGTTGCTATTCGGCTCCAATTTGTTTAGGTTCAGTCCATTTAAGTTCTTGTACGAAACATGTCTACTCTTAAAATAATTGACTGAAATTTTGATATTTCAGCCCATTTTGAGCTTATTTGACTTGCCGAACATACCCCAAATTAGGGGTGGACTCGGACCGGGTGGCCCGGTCACTGTTTGAACCGGCCCGAACCGCCGCCTCGGCCAGGGATCGATCCGGGTAGGCCCGACCCGCTGGGGTTCCGGGCCGGGGATCGGGCCCCTGAAAAGGTGAACCGGCCCGGCCCGCCCGGTTCGGGCCAATTTATTTATTTGTTTTTTAATTTTTTTATGTTTTTGGGTTGGGCTGGGTATTTTGGGCCATTTCGGACCGGGTGGCCCGGTCACTGTTTGAACCGGCCCGAACCGCCGCCTCGGCCAGGGATCGATCCGGGTAGGCCCGACCCGCTGGGGTTCCGGGCCGGGGATCGGGCCCCTGAAAAGGTGAACCGGCCCGGCCCGCCCGGTTCGGGCCAATTTATTTATTTGTTTTTTAATTTTTTTATGTTTTTGGGTTGGGCTGGGTATTTTGGGCCATTTGAGGTGGTTTGGGGGTGAGGGGGAGGGTTGAGGGTTAATTAGGAAAAGCCAAAAAAAAAATTAATTTGAACTGAGGCCTGGCCCGGTCCTGCCCTGCCCGAACCGGACCCGGGGGTTACCCGGCCCGGTTCCGGGCCTCACCTTTCATGAACCGAGGCCCGGCTGGGCCCAGGCCCGAACCGGCCCGAGTCCACCCCTACCCCAAATGGTCACTCAAGTTATGCTTATTTAGCGAAAACATTGAGTTTTCTCTTAAATTATGAAAATGTCGCCACCCAATAAATGGACTTGTTTGGTTATGGACAGGGGCGGAGCCAGGGGGGGGGGGGGGTCAGTGTGATCAGCCGACCCCGCTGAAAGTTCAAGAATGTAGAGCTCTGAAATACCTTTGATTTGATATATTATGGGTCCTGTAACTCATTACGAGTAAAAAGTTATGACTTCTGAAAAACTCAGCACCATCTTAACTTGAAATAAGCAAAATTTGATGTGTGACGTTGATTATATTCTTAAATTTAAAAATAAAACACCTTATTCAATGGAGCCAAAGACTTACTATTTTTTGGCTTGGGAATATGAGGGAATAAAACAAAATGGCTCACTAAACTGTCTGCGCTTCATTTTTATGAAGCAGCAGTTAGTTCATGCAATTTTCGACGCGATTTTCGCCATGGGTCATCCGGAAACAGTCTCTCTGTGCTTTAGTACAAGGGTAAGACTGCGTACATACGACCCTCCCTTACCCAAATGTAGGTGGGAGCCTTTGCGGCACTGGGGTAATGATGATGACATATATATCAATACATTAACTGAAAAGGGCTCATTAAACTATCATTTATCTCAGCTACATACGAAACATTTAATTCAAGTATTGTATAATAATTATCGATCATTTTGATACTGTGTATAATTAAACTCCGATCCCCCTCACACACTTTTCTGGCTCCGCCCCTGGTTATGGACTATATTAGTTAATGCTGCACAAAGGACTAGGGGGCGTTTGGATCTAATTCTTAAACTGCTTCTGCTCCTTCAGGGAGTAAAAGTAGAAGTGGAGTGTTTGAGTGAAAGTGTAGAAGTGATTCTGATGTTCTAGTTTATTCCTAGAATCAGTTTTTTTACAAGATGAGGGAGACCAGTTTCTGAAAACTGATTCTAATTCTGCTTCTACTTAAAAAAAAGCAGAATCACTTCCAAACAAAACCTGAATCAGGTTTTTTTTTTCTTACACAAAAAAAATCTGATTCAGGGTGTGTTTGGAACTGATTCTGCTTCTGCTTTTTTTTTTAAGCAGAAGCAAAAACAGAATCAGTTTTCAGAAACTGATATCCTCAGCTTCTAAAAAATTTGATTCTAAGAATAAATTAGAGCACATAAATGCTTCTAAAATTTCAGCAAATCACAACCAACCTCATTCCGTTAGCGAAGGCATATTCATGTTATATTGCGGCACCGGAGGTGAGGGAGCAGAGATCAGGCAGGGCCTAAGTTAACGGAGCGCCGTCCGTCACATTTTCCACCTTCCGCAGAACTCTCCCGAAGAACTCGGGATGCATCAACACCAACCAAAAACGACACTCTTCAGACTTCACACACCCAAGAAAAAAAAGCATCCTCCCCGAAAGATGATAGATTAATTAAAATTCAATGAAATTGTGATTTTCTTAGTTGTTCTTCTTTCCAAACAAACGTGCCTAGAGAGCTTCATGCCGTCGCATCATTTTGCCAGGTTGATTTCTCTGCATTTCCATTCACTTATTTTCAACTTTTTATATCTATTTCCTTATTTGCTTATAACAGAAATAACTATTATTACTAAGTAATCCGTATTATTTATTATTGTCATTGTCATTTTTAAGGCTTGGACGTTGTTGTTCTTGTATTATTGTCATTATTATTATTACTCCTATCTGGAGTTAAAAATTCAATCTTCGCAACAAGCAGGTTTTAACGTCCCTGCTCTTGATTTTGAAGTTTCGCTTGCTACCATACATAGAAATATGATTGTTCTTAACTTCTGCCTGCATTTTTGCCTTGCAACCATCTTTCTTAGGACATCAGCTAAATTTTGCATAGATTGTGATTTGATGTATCCTACATTCCTACTGAAAGTGTTAGGAATCTCATATTTAAAGATCAAAGAGAAACAAATTAGTTTATAAAGTTTTGAGTTATACTAGCTAATCTATTGAATTAATTTTATAGTGTAGTTTTTTCCATGTACATCCTGTCGGACCCAATTATGAATGCTATCATGGAATGAGAATAGGTCTGGTCACATCATGTATCCAGTTGTTCATCTAACTGTCCAACCCCAGTGCACAGTGGTCCTTCAGCAATGCTGCTGCGCTCTTCAATCTTTTAATATGATTTGCACTATTGTGCGGCTGAGTGACCCAAACCAATTATGATTTCCGTCTGTAACTTAGTAGCCATTTTGCTAATATTGTTGTTTGAATTTTAAGGAGATATTTGTCCACTTTGAAGCATTAGTTTTTCTGTTTTTGCTTCATTTGCATTAGAGATGAAATGTGAAGAAATGGGGAACACTTGGATTAAATCCGGGGGACTGCCTATTGCATGTGTTGGTTGCACTGTTGCAGAATATAATGAACTTTCTTATTAAAAGGTTTGCAAGTAGCTGAAAATTTGGTTTTCAAGTTAGATATGAAACTGGATTAAGTCATTGTTATGATTGCTTCTTTTTATCAGTTTTATTTACATCCACGTTCGTACATCATGTGGCATTTTCGTAGTTTCCTTGATGATTGCTTTTCTCTCTCTCTAAGTGATGGTCATTTTCTTTTGTTTTCCCGTGTTCCTTCTTTTTGTCTTTTATGTTCTTCTGATCAGTTTCTTCTTAAAAAAGTTCATTTGTATATGATGATTGCTCATTTATATTTTAAAGCATGGTATAATGCTCTTTTGCATATTCTGGATGTACGATTGTCACGGCACATCTGAAAATAGGAGTCATTTTTCAGTCATTTTGCAGTGTTTTCTCTTTTCCATTTTTTTACTTACAATGATCAACAATATATGCATCCATTATTTCAGCTCTGAGAATGAAAAATTGTAGGTTGCCATCATGAATACTTTAACTGACCGCCTGATGAATGACTATGGTATGCACAACACTTCAAGTGCATCTCCAGGTGGTGACACTCAAGATTCCCCACCAATTAATCACAATGATCTTGAAGGTGAAAATCAATTTTTAATATGTATAGATTGGACAAAGCTTTGTTTTTTTATCACGCTTTCTTGCTATTGTAGTAAAAGAGAGAGAAAGTCTTGTGCAGTGGCTGAACAGTATCCTTCCGCATTTGAGGTTGTCTATAAAATCCTCAGAAGAGGAACTACGAGCAGTCTTACTTGATGGTAGCGTATTGTGCCAATTAGTGGTTAAGTTGAAACCAGATTTGTTTTTAACCGAGGTAATCAATATGCTATGATTTTACTTGACATAAATGCATTAGGGCTATGTTGGATATTGAAAAAAAACAAGGGGAAAAATGTAAATAAATTATTTTAGTATGCTTGGCCTTACCATGGAAAATGCAAGGGAAAATGAAGTACTTCCTTCGTTCTTTAATATTTGCAACACTTTGAAATTTGTTAACACACCTTACTTTGACCATGATTTTCTACTAATATATATTATTAAGTTATTATATATAAAATCTTACTCCCTCCGTCCCATTTAAAGGTTCCTGTTCACTATTCTTCGTTCAACATGAATTGTTCTTAATCTTTTACTTTATATATCCAACTTTTATCAAATTTAAATTTTTTGATCAGGTTTTATAAAACTTTTAATGTAGTATCTGAATATGTAAATTTTATTTACTAAAAACAATCTTATTAATGACATGGATCAATTAACTTTATGGTCAGTCAAACATTGTAAACCGCGTGGGAACTTTTAAGTGGGAAGGAGGGAGTATTAAATTTCTCTTAATGTGAATTTCCAAAATATTAAATTTTTATAATGCTTTTTATTATGTAATATAATTACGGTCAAAGATGTTTGGTGACAAACGTGAAAGTCAAACTGTTGCAATTAAAAAAGAACGGAGGTAGTATAATAGTCCTTTTAAGCCTTTTGGCATCCCATGATATTTAAACGTTAAGTGTATGCTTGGTTCCCCAACATTACTATATCGAAAGGAAAATAGGGCTAAGAAAATTCTAATATGTTTCGTTTTACCTTGGAAAGTGAAAAGGTATAGAAAATGTGGTTAGTTATTTTTAATGTGTACATTTATTCAGATCTCATAGGATGTTTTTAATTGGACTATAATTTTTTGGTCTGGTACCGGTCTGGTATGAACTGGTCTGATAGATGTATGTTCTATGTGTATTTTACAACCGTCAAAGTCTGGTCTGATCCGGTATGTTTAGTCTTTAAATAAGAGATAAATAAAATGAGTATCAACAAATATCTAAAAACATGTTTTTAGTCTTTTAGCCTATCTTTTGTTTTCCCCACATTTTCTTTCTTTCCATATTTCCCTAATATATTCTAGGGTCTAAACCGACCCTAAGAGTATGTTTATCACCAAAAAGGACTGGGAAATGAAAAAATGCTAAAAGGGAAATAATGTTATTATGATTGGCTTTAGCTTGAAAATGCATAGAAAAATGAATTATGATGTTTTTTTCTATATATAATAAAAATCTTTGTATAATACATATACGACTATACGTAAATTGACTTTGTACAAATGTCTAAAATGAATTTATTGAGTTTGAGCTTATCTTATATTTTGTCCCAAATATTCTTTCCTTTCTATTTAGTTCTATTTGCTCCACATTATCTCCCCCTTGAATTTTCCATGTTCCAAAAGACCCTGAGAGTTTATCCTAATGGTGGTTTACTCTAGGCAGGAAATTGTATTAATTCTTCGGGTTCGTGCTCAGAACATGTTAGAAGATTTTTATCAGCCATGGAGAAATTGGGCTTACCCCGGTTTGAGGCATCAGACTTAGAAAATGTATGTAGCCCTACGAGTAATACAAGCTTAGCCATGTATTATTGGTCGGTATAGGAACTGAACTCTAAACTCCCATTCTATTACGGAAAAATTTTCCAGGGCTCCATGAAAGCTGTGTTTCATTGCCTTATAGCACTTCAAACACAATTTAGGGAACAAGATGGGGAATCCGATGCATCTGGAAATGTTATTACAACAAGAAGATGGAAGTCGATGATAGAACATTATGGAGGTGATGATGATCAAAGGGAAGAATCTTTCAGACTCCGTCCTTTTTCATCTTTTGGAGAAGAGAGATGGAAATTAGAGTCAAAATCGCAACGAGCATTGCGTAGTCCTGTGATGGCAGGTTACAACCTCATAACTTCCAAAGATTATTACATTACACTACTTATATAGTGCTATTATGAGCTTAAACCCTTATAGGAATGAAAAACCTTATCGTTCCTCACCCTAGAATTTCAATACTTTTATATTTTAACGTTAACCTAATAAACCTACTTTGCTCACAACATATTCTTTGATGCTCCGATTCCATTGAAGTTCTGATTAGACTTTTTTAACTAAAAAACTTGTAAAGCCATCTTCCTATATTACATGCATCGGCGTGGTTGATCTCATAATTACCTTCACTTGTTACCTCAACGAATTGGTACATGCATAGGCATGGTTGATCTCATAATTCTCCTTCACTTTCCATCATATTTCACAAAAAAATTGTATCAGACTACATATATTGAGAACTAAACTAACTCTCATTTTTCATTATTTGCACGGAGTGTTCTTTTTAATTGCAAAGTATCTCCTTACCCAAATTAGAAACTATGAAGTATTTTTCTTCTTTATTTATCCATTCTTCTTAGTCACTTCATTGTCTTATTTTTAAAAACTTTCTTAAAAGAATCAGCTGCACTGATACATCACATTGGCCACAAGTTCCATGAAGTATTTGAGCTTAAACAAGGAAGTTATGCTGATCTCCCCGCATCAAAGATTTCAGAAATGATGAAGTCAAACAGTTTGGATGTATGCTTGATGAACATTTATCCATTGGACTTTATTTGATAAGTAAATTGATTTAAGGCTCACATATTCCTTTTACCATTGATTGATTAGCTCAACGTGTTAATCTCTTCTGTGCAGAATGCCCCAACACAGTCACTTTTAACGGTTGTGAATGGAATCATAGATGAATGCATTGCACGCAAAAATGGAGAAATACCTCAAGTATGCACTCTGGACATACACTTCTCGCATCCCAGCTTTTAATTGTGTTAACCCTACACCTGACCTGTCATCATCATCATTTACCCCAGTGCCGCAAAGGCTCCCACCTACGGTGGGGTAAGGGGGGGTTGGATGTACGCAGTCTTACCCCTGTACTGAAGCACAGAGACTGTTTCCGGATGACCCAAAGTGAAAATCGCGTCCAAAAATGCATGGACTGACTGCTGCTTCATAACAAAGAAGCGCAGACAGTTTAGTGAGCCATTTTGCTTTATTCCATCATACTCTCAAGCGAAAAAATAGTGAATCTTTGGCTCCATTGCAAATGATGGAAAATAACCCTACATCTGACCTGTAACTAAGGAAAAAATATCATGCCCATGGGCTATGCTTAAGAGTTGGGTTTTAAAGTGGATTGGAGAGGGAGGCCTTACTTTTTATTTTTAAATTATGAGAATTCTACATGGTTTATAATAATAAGAAAATGACAAGTTTATACTAATTGATCATTTTTACTTCTAAAATCTTGAAGATTATAAATTTAAAGCAATCTTCCTTTCAATGAAAATATAACCATTTCCTTCCAAAACTGAACTCCCAAACATAGCCTTAGGGTATGTTTGGATGGAGTGTTTTGCAGAGGTTTGGAGGGCTTAGTCTATATCTTAATAATTTGAATGTTTCTAATAATGAATAAAAAATGATTGGATTGTTATACTATCACAAATAATGCTAATCTTTCAATTGCATGAAATATAAAAAATATATATCATGACTAAGCCTTCACCTCCGAACATCCAAAACCCTCCCTCCGGACAGATCCTTGAATTCGCTCCAACCTAGGTTATTAGAATGTGATGGTATAAAGAACTTTTTATGTGGTTAAGGTCAAATGTGTGGTTAAGTGTGGTGCAGGCAAGGGAATAATTGACTTTTAACACACATTTAGTTGTTTTGCTCCGCTTAGCGTGTAGCATGCCTGTTGAGAAAAGTAGTGCAAGAGATAGAGAGGCGGATATCAACACAAGCAGAGCACCTGAGAATGGTATATATGCTGCAGCAGTTTGGCCCTAACTGCCGAGCTTAAACAAATTCTGACAATGTATTTTATTCTATTTTGAAGCAAAACAACCTCTTCAAAGCTCGGGAAGAGAAGTATCAATCGAGAATTAGAGTTCTAGAAGCTCTTGCAACTGGTACAAGTGAAGAGACACAGGTATGCATTGCTTTTATTGGCACTATCGTGTTTCAGAGCCATAAGAATCTCTCCCTATCTTCCCATTATTCCTTGCTTTACATTATGGTATTTTTTTTCTTTTGAAGATTGTCATGAACCAACTCCAACAACTTAAGGTATGATTTTTTAATTTCTGCATTTTATTTTAATTTATTCCATGAAAACGTCATTTTTTCTCTTTGTCGTTCAAAAGACATGCATGCATTATGTGTGGGATTTTTTATTTGCATTCGTGTTTAATCAAAGATCTTTGGTAAACATTTATTCCCTCCTTTTTAAGTGTTATTTTTACGTGTTTGCACACATACTATGAAAGCATTATTTTTTAGTGTCGAGATAAAAGTAGCATAGTATGATGAGAATGCCCCTACTAATGTTTCAGAGTGCGCATTTACGGATGGAGAGTGATCAATTAATGTCAATCCTAAAGAAACACTCATTAGAGAACATAAGAAATCAATAGAGTGACAATTAAAAGTGAACCATAGTTTTGAAAGGCATCTTTTAGGCGCGCCTCAGTGTGAGCCTGTAAAAAACACATTGAGGCCAAAGCCTAGGGTAGTTGGATTGAGGCTTGCGTCTCAGATGGACTGAGGCTTACGCACCATACGCCTCAAGGCATTTTCTGGGAGGCTTAAGCCTCATAGTTTTCTTTTATAACTTTTGAGTTCATCCAGGCTTATTGTTTATAAATGACATTCATATTGGGCCTTATGCCTCTCAGCTCTATGTTTAAATATAACTTCACTTTAATCTTTTGAAGTTTTAGAGTCATGAATATCTACTGTGTTTTCCTTTACCTTAAGACTAAATTTTGTTTTCTGGCATTGGCTTATGGAATTTTATATGTTTAGTGTCGCGAATATATCTTGTATGACGCTTACAGCTCATACCTCCTTAAGGTGTATGCCTTGAGCAGTTGAGCCCCCTAGAAGCTTAGGGCCTGTTTGGTAACGGCTGCAATGGCTGAAACTGCTGAAAAGACTGAATCTGCTGAAGTTAAAGTGTTTGGTAATATGCTGGCTGGAATGGCTGATTGAATGTAAAATTACCATAAAGGATATAATTTCTTGATGTTTTCAATACATTAGATTACAATACACCCCTTACTCTCTAAACCCTTATTAGGCCACAAAATACCCCACACCTTTATACAAGTTTTTAAAACACGGCAAAGTATTTAAAATTCTTAAAAGTATTTGGAATTCAAAATTTTAAATTGGAAGAAAATAGAATTACTAGTGAGTTATAAAAACCATAATAAACTGAAAATAAAGCAACCCTATAAGTTTAACGCCACATAAAAAAACAAGACGTGCAGCAACTTATTAGACCAGGCTTCATGAGATAAGGTATTGGGAAATTATGAAAGTTCACAAAGAACTAAATCTACACTTCTGGAGCAGTAGAACGAGGATAAATACATATTTCAATAGCTTAACAGTACAATAATAAAATTCAGCCAAAGAAGTAACCTTAAGGCTACTTTTTGAGCTGATAATAAAATTCAGCCAAATCAGCCCATTAAGAGGCTGTTTGGTGATTTTTATGCATATTCAGGCTTATAAGCTGATTTCCAGTCCTCCAAACGGGCACTTAAAAAGACATTTTCATACCTTGAAGAGAACGGAGGGAATAATTGTTTGTGACAAAAAAAAGAGTATTTTTATGTTTATTTCACATGTTATATGATTAATGTGTGTACTATTTACCTACTCAAGTACTCAACGTAACATTATTACTGTTTATTTCGAATGAAACATAACTCAATTGTTATATATATATCGTCAATATAATCACCTCATTAATCCCAACTCAGTGTAACGTCTAGACATTTTTATTTTTCTTAAATAGTAATAGTGGTAGGTTTTGTTTCCCTGTTTCTTTTATTCAAATTAGAGTGAAAGGACAAAGATGGAGGTGAAAAAGAAAACCGAGGAACATGACATGACTAGATTGATGAAAGGAAAAGATGATAGTGTCCAGGAGATCACAGCTTTGAAGCAAAATCTTGAAATCGCTAGAGAAACATATGAATTTGACACCAGAATATCTCAACAAGAGATTTCAAATTTGAAGCAAGAACTTGAAACAGCTCGGGAAGCCTATAAAGATTGCTTCTCACAACTGGAAAGTAACAACAGAAATTCTCAACAAGAGATTTCATCTTTGAAACAAGAACTTGAAACCACCCGTAAAGGATCTGAACAAGAGATTGAAACATTGAAGAAAGAAATTGAAACTATTTGTAAAACTTATGACCAACGTTTCTCAGAAATGGAGAAAGAGGCTAAAGGATCTCAAACAGAGATGGAGGAGAAATTGAAGGAATCCACGAGGCATTTAACAGAAACAAGGAATAGGTTGAAGGAATGTGAAATGCTTTTTGAAACGAGGTCTTTGCAGTGGAAAAAGAAACAGAACATCTATGAAATATTCACTGAATTCCAGCTTGGTGCACTACGTGTAAGATCTGAAAAAACTTCTATGTTTCTATATTGGGTTAATTACATCATTCTTGTAGAGGTTTTGTTATGATTCTGAAATTTACATACAAAATATGGCAGAGTATGATATTTTTTAGAGTTCTTGAAATAGAGACTAGTGTTTACATACAATTAATTAAAATTTTCAAAGCTTTTTCCTTGAAAAAATCCTGCAAAGTTATATTAGCATAAAGTTCCTACTAATATTATCATTATAGCATTTCATCTTTCAGTGTCGTTCGAATGAGCAAGGGGTTTATCTGTATTTTTCAGATGCCTCGAGGATCATTTGGTAATTTGACCAATCCTCTGGGGAGGTAGATGTAATTAACCCTCCTATATTTGATGCTTTCAAATCATCAAATGTGTCTATCATTTTCACCTCAGGTGAGTTAATAATTTCAGGAGCTAAAATTTTCATCCCATTCGATAAGGCATGAAGTTATCAAAACACAGAAGGTCTACACAGATGAATTCAAACGCTTAGGTGAAGTTTGCTCTTAGCACTTTTACTAGAAGTGTTTTCTTATTTAAAGGTGTTTTCTTCTTCTTTCAAAAGCACTGTAAACCAGTGTGTTCTTTAATGGCACATGTGCCTTTTTAAAGAATCAAGGAAGAAGGGTCAAATAAGGCTTTCTACAATTGTGAAACCATCATATAAGCCCATGTACTAAAAAATGACCACATAGATGCATTTACTGCTTAAAACACATCATCTAGGCTCCTTGACCGGAAATCAACCTGCTATAGCAGATTTTTTGATATTTGGAAAAAGGGTCAAATAAGCCCTTCTACAATTGTGAAACCATCATCTAAGCCCATATACTAAAAAAACGAGCACATAGATGCATTTACTGCTTAAAACACATCACATAGGCCCCCTGACCGAAAATCAATCTGCCATAGCAGTTTTTTTTTGATATTTTTTATGTTTTTTTTTGTCTTTTCTTCTTTTCCTCTTCTCTTATTGCACCCTTTAGCGATTCCAATGTTTTTTTTTTAATTTTTCTCCTTTCTTTTTTGAGTTTTTTCTTGATCTTTGAAAAATAAATGGGATTGTAACTAAATATTCTTTTATATTTGGAGAATCACACTTTTAGTCCCTACGTATTATTTATATTGAAATTTAATTTCCAGTTTTTTGAGTTTTAATAAGTGTGTTTTTGTCGTTAAATTTGAACGAACACCGTTAATTTTTAAGTTTGTAACTTTGACGCAGTTACATTTGTTAAAAAACTACACTTTTATACATATTTTCAAAATTATTTGCATCTAAAGTTTTTGTCTCTAAAATTAGTCCATAGACAAAAAATGTCAGTTGAAAAAATTCAATTTTATAGAAAATAAATATCGGTCGGAAAATCTAATTCAAAGACAATAAATGTCTGGGAGAGACACAAAATTGTGACAAGGCAAAAAATGTATTTTTTTACAAATTTTCAATTTTTCGCATCAAAGGAACCTATAGATTTAGACTACTAATAAATAATGTTGATCGAAGAAATATGATGTTATAAACAATAAATGTCTGGTCCAAACAAAAAAAATTCATACAGGGTAAAAAACTATATTTTATTTATCCATTTTTTCAGAAAATTGTACTGATAATTTTTATTTATAGAAGTGTATCATTTTTTACCAAATGTAACTGTGTCAAAGTTACAACATCAAAAATAAATGGTATTCGTTCAAATTTAACAGCGGAAATCACATTTATAAAAATTCAAAAAACTGGGGATGGTATTTATGAGTAAAAGGTTAAATAAATGGAAATTAAATTTCAATATAAATAATAAATTAGTGACTAAAAGCGTGATTCTACAAATATAAAATAATATTTAATACAATCCCCATTATTTTCAAAAATCGAGAAAAAAGAAAGGAGAAAGAATAAAAAAACAAAACATTGGGATAGCTAAAGGGTGAAACAAGAAAAGAGGAAAACAAGAAAAGGAAAAAAAACCTTACAAATGTCAAAAACCTGCTATAGCAGGTTGATTTCTGGTCAGGGGGCCTATTTGACCTTTTCCCAAGAATTAAAAGAACTTTTTACATTTCCTTATAAAACACTTCTTTTTAAAGTAAAATTACCTGTATTCCTACGAAAAGCATTTATTCTATGAAGATAAGTCATCCTAAATGCACTCTTAACCTTTTCCGTTGAAATCATTTTAATATTATTATTATTATTATTATTATTATTATTCAGTGTTTTTGAAATGCATCTCTTATATAATATAGGTGTGAAGACCAGAGCGTTGGAAGATGCAGCTGCAAACTATCATGTAGTTCTTGCTGAAAACAAAAAGCTACATAATGAAGTCCAAGAATTAAAAGGTGAATATTAAAAAATATGTACCTCATATATCTTTTTGTAATTTATTAGAATTAGAATATATATATGTGTGTGTGTGTGTGTGTAATCTTTATTTTGTCTTCTCATAGTTCTTTAATGATTATTAGGAAATATAAGAGTATATTGCCGGGTAAGGCCATTTCTTCCTGGACAAATGGACAGGCAGACAATTGTTAATTATATTGGTGAAAATGGGGAGCTAATTGTCACGAATCCTTCAAAACAAGGAAGGGAAGGGCGTCGTTCATTCAAGTTTAATAAGGTTTATGCTCCTGCTGCCACACAAGGTTTAAAAATTATTTTAACCTCTATCTGTTTTTTCTTTTGCTTTTGTGCACTTTTGGTCTTGTAGCTATAGCAGGCTGGAAAGATTAGTCCCATTGAAACTGTATATGACAATTTAGACCCGTTACTTTCAAAATGTTGAGAATTGGCATTTTTTAATGAAACTGCCATAGCTTTACTTCCAACCCTGCCATAGCTTTACTTCCAACTCAGTGGACCCTCAATCTGAACCATGTTCTTTTTTTTAATTTTTCTAGATCTCAGTGGCCTCAGGAACAAACTCTCGACATTTTGAAAGTAATGGGCCTAAATTGCCAAGAAACAAATTCTTAAAAGGAATTCTTAATAAGACTTAGGAGGCTAAAATGCATTTTGAGCTGTTTTTAATAAAAACTATTCTCTTCGTGCTCATATTCTGCAGTATAACCATTGGTATGTAATACTTGTTCAAATATTTTCAGCTCAAGTGTTTTCAGATATACAGCCATTGATCCGATCAGTTTTGGATGGTTATAGTGTTTGCATATTTGCATATGGCCAAACAGGCTCAGGAAAAACTTACACAATGGTAACAGCATTTCTTTTTCCAATAAAAAAACTATATCCTGCATTTGCTATTGTTTCTTATGTGTGGATTAATATTACTCCCTGCCAGACGGGCCCTGATAGAGCTAGTGAAGAGGAATGGGGTGTCAACTACCGGGCTTTAAATGACCTCTTTCAGATTTCCCAAAAGAGAGTGAACGCCACTGCATATGAAATCTCAGTTCAAATGGTAGAAATATATAATGAACAAATCCGTGACTTGCTCTCGAACGACAACTCTCACAAAAAATATCCTTCAAAATCAGATCACACATGGTCCATGTTTATATAATTACTTTAGATGATATTCTACATATTTGTGATGTGAAGCAGAAAAGAGTGCATTTGGGATTACTTATTTTCAATGAATAAGTACTTTTATGGGAAATAACATTACTTAAAAAAATGAGTCGGGCAGGAAATGAAAGAAAAAATCTTTTACTTGTAAACAACTCTTTGTGCTTATCTAGTAAAGAACCATATTGCATCTTTTTGAAGAAAAATAGGCGCTTTTAGTCCTTAAATGAGAACACTTCTTATAAAAAGATGTAGCAAAAGCCATCCCAAAAGACTCCAATATTGTTAGCATTGTTTGTAATACTTAAAGATATTGCCATTAGGTGGTTTCATATTAGATATCCTTAAACATTATACCACAATTATGCTGTGTTTTTAACATTTCCATAGTTGATATTCCACATACTTCCGTGAGAGCATCCATTGCAACCAGTAATAATTTTATCTATATTTGTAACTTCTTACGTGTCAATTGAAAAAGATTACTCCATCTTTCCCGGAAAAAGAAATGTTTCATCAAAGCACAGCTTTTTAACTGGCAAGAGTAGGCATAACTTTGGTAATCATCCACTGTGCTTCTGTTTTTGACTTTTTATGATCGTAAAACTATGTTTAGCATACTTTACTCATTTGGAACACTTTTTAGAAGTATTGGATTAACATCAATATATATAGCTTCTCTTGTTGAAATATGACTCCTTTTTTGGGAAGAAAGGGCTTGCAACAGGATTATATTTTGGGACAGAGGGAGTACAAATTTTGCTAAAAAGTTTTGCAGTCTCATATAAGTTTTTGTGCTGCTCCAGACTTTCTCAACCTTTGCAATATTGAATTCCTTAATATGCACACTCTGGCGGTTTTGCCAACAACCCAACCAAATGGTTTAACTGTGCCCGATGCTAGCATGTATCAAGTTAACTCGACTGCAGATGTGTTGGACCTAATGAATATTGGATTGAAGAACAGATCGCGAAGTTCAACTGCCCTAAATGAAAGAAGCAGCCGATCACATAGGTTGAGTCTCTGATGTCATCTTTAGGGTCCGTTTGGAACTTTGATAATGCGAGACAAACATAAAGGAAAGTTGGGAGGATAAATAAAATTTGGAAGACAGTAAAAACATGTCTAAAAATAAAAATATTAATATTAGATATTTGCTCAGATTCCTTTTATTTATTCATGTTTATGTAAACAAACGTATAAAAAGTAATCATTTTTTTACACTTATAGTTTCTAATATAAAACCAAACATAAGAAAATGACTTTGCTTAGCATTTTTTCTCTTCCCGGCAATTTCCAGGACAAAAATATATACTATTAACATCTGAAATTATTTACATATTTGAAGTCCTAATTGAACAAATACTTGTAATAAACGCAGTGTGGTGACAATTCATGTGTGTGGGACGGATATTAAGAGCGGATCGTCTATGCGAAGCAGTCTTCATTTGGTGGATCTAGCAGGAAGTGAGAGAGTAGATCGCTCTGAGGTAAAAGGTGACAGGTTAAAGGAGGCACAACACATAAACAAGTCTTTAGCTGCGCTTGGAGATGTCATTTCTGCTTTGGCTCAAAAGAGCCCTCATATTCCATACCGAAACAGCAAGCTTACCCAAGTTCTTCAAAGCTCATTAGGTATACTGTGTTTTTATCTTTTTCTGTGATAATCTCTTTTTTTTTGTAAATGAGAACACATTTGGATATTTCATCATCATAATCTGAATCGCAATCCAAAATGATCCTCTGGTGTTCACATTTCTCAGAAATTACCAGAGGCAACCCTAATTGTAAGAAATGTCTATATACAGGGGTCATTTTGAGATTTACCCCAAACCTGAGGGTAACTCAAGAAACTTCGCTCCTTAAACCATAAATATAGGGCATGTTTGAATAACAGGAAATATAAAAGAGAGAACATACCGGGCTCTTGTACCAGAAATTAGGAATTAAAGGATTTTCCAAATTTTGCATCTACCATCAATTATGAAACTTATACTTCTCTGTTGTGCACAGGGGGCCAAGCAAAGACCCTTATGTTTGTGCAGCTTAATCCTGACCTTAGTTCATATTCCGAGTCTGTTAGTACTTTAAAATTTGCTGAGAGAGTATCCGGGGTAGAGCTAGGTGCAGCCAAGAGTAGCAAAGATGTCAAAGACGTCAAGGAGTTGATGGAACAGGTACTCTTTTAACTGTAACACTATACATATTTCACTCTTTGGAACATTGAACATTTCATCCTTGAGAGTAATTATGTAATTCACTATGATCCAAAGTAGGAATTCAAATCATTACGGATGTGATAGAGACCTGGGCCGTAGGGACAAAAGGACTAATAATAATAATTATAATAATAATAATAATAATAATAATAATAATAATAATAATAATAATAATAATAATAATAATATTGAAGAGTAGTATTAGGATACATTAGAAGAAGCAAGGGGAATGTAAATGAATTGATGAGGTGGCAAACTCATGCTATACATTAGAAGAAGGTATACATAGTATAAGTATGAGCCGAATGATGAATGAAATGGAGCCTAGAGTTCAGTTGGGATTGGGCTTGGGAGAGAAAGATGCTCTTGAAATTATCTCTATTTTCTTTGTAGTTTGTACACTGATTTACTGATTCCGCCATTGCATTTCTTTAAGACATAAATTCTCTATTGTGTGTCAGGTTCCTATCATTTGGTACCAATGATAGGAACCAGACACGCAATAGGAGAATTTATGTATATTAAGTATGGAATTCAGAAAAGATCTCAGAATTCCTTAAGCAAATACAATGGCAGAATTCAGATTCTCTCTCTCCCAAGCCAAAACCTAGCTGAATTTCAGCCTCCCTTTCATTCATCACTCAGCTCATACTTATACTACTTTTTAATACTACGTATTATTTTAATACTACGTATTATTATAAGTCCTTGTGTCCTTGTGCCCGAGTCTCTATCATCACTCCCCCCTTGAACTTCTACCTTGTCCTCAAAAGGTGGATAGTAAGAAGCTGTTCTGGCATTTGGTTTCATAAAGGTTTCCGCTACATCCAGTTCAGACTGCTGATCATCTGGTCCTTTCTCCTCTTCTAGATTTTCCATAAGGACAACTTGATAATGTTTCATTCCACAAAGATGTTCCTTACTCCATTTTTCTCCACATTTGAAGCATGATAGAACACTGGTAGAGATCTAAGCAATTCAGCAACAATTCTATAGAAATCTAGCTATAGAACAGATCGAAAATGATATTATTGCAATAGGAAAGGACCAAAGTGGGTATACAAGCACTGGGACTGTTCGAGAAGCCCACTCTCCAAGCCAACCATCAACTGAATAACAGCCTGCCTTATTTAGTTAACCTTCTTCTATTTATAGTAATAGTCCACGCAGGGACAAAACAGAAAGAACTAATTAGCTAGTTAACAACAAACCCCTTATTTCTCCTCTTATAGACCTTATTAAAATACTGAATAGGCTGCTGCACCATATGCCTAACATTACTCCCCCCCCCTGAAAATTTACCATGTCCCCAAGGTGAAAATCTGGGAAATGTTCTGTCAATGACTGCAGTGATTCCCAAGAGTCTTCAAACCCTGGTAAATCCTTCCAATGTACCAGCACTTCCATCTTCCCATCCTTATTCACACTGGAGTCTAGAACTTCTTCAGGTATCACTTGTAATTCCCATTCTTCATTAAGACACTTGGGTAGGGGCTGGAAATTAGTTGTAGGTGATGTAGCCTTCTTCAACAATGAAATGTGAAACACTGTCCCTCCCTCTTCTTTCCAGCCCCCTTTTCTTCTTCCTTATGTATCCTTGATCTCATAGCAGTGTTCTTTTCCTCTAACAATAAGCTCTATCCATCATTTCTGTTAGTGATCCATGATAATAGAGTTTCAGTTCCGCCCTATCCGTGTTCCTCATAGGTGCCACAACCAGCTCGAATTGCTCCCTGTAGTGCATCACACTCCCTGTCTGCTTCATGCTCAACATAGGCCCATAGGGATTTTGTACGAGCTTCGGTAGAAATCTCCTCATTAACGCTTCCTTGAAGTGTTCCCAACTACGATCCTGGGTTTGTCCTTCCCACCATTGGTACCAATTAAGTGCTCGTTCCTCCATCGCGATCACTACTACCTCCACTTTCTCGTCTTCCTCCACGTGATTTAGTTTGAAAAAACGTTCTTCACGAACGATCCATCCATATGCCTCGACTCCATTGAATATCGGTAAATCAACTTTTCGCCTAGTCCTTATACGATTATTGATCCTAGTATTCTCATGATGGACTGAAGCAGACAGGGATTCATTGGAATTACCTCTAGAACGAGATGCAATCTCACTCCCCGATGGTTGACGATGGCGCGTAGTACCCGATCGTCCTCTGGTCCTGTGCTCGTTGTGAAGCACAACATTCTGCAGTTCCTCCAACATCGTTCGCGTCTCTATCATCGATCGCTCCATATCATCCATACGGTTCTCCATGTTTGATCGGGTTACAACCATCAACAGGCCAAAAGATCGATGATCTGATACCAATGTTAGGAACCAGATATGGAAACGGAAAATAGACGTAGATTGATACTAAAGTACTGAAACGGAAAATACAATTGAGACTCTTCGAGAGGCCTTACTCTCCTAGTTTCCAGCCCAATCCCAAGTTCTGCCTTCTTCCTTTTATAATACTCTCGTAATGGGCCAGCTTTCATTCACTAAGTTACTGGCCCTAAAACCCTCTTATTGTACAATATTAAACTACTTAATATTATTCTTATTAGGTGTGTCCGGGTGCCTATCAGAGTCTCAGGTTGCCACCTCATCAATTTATATACATTCCCCTAACTTCTTCTATTGTATCCTACTATCCTTATACTACTCTTTAGTATTATTAATTTATTATTATAAGTCCTTTTGTCCCTACGGCCTGAGTGTCTATCAGGATGTAATTTAAAAAGCATAAGTTTCATCTGGCTGAAAGGAGATATACATCGCTCAGAAATGTTAAAGACACATATGGGTTTGTAAGATCCTGATTGGATCCAATCTTCTAATGCGTTTGGCCCATGAGTATTATGGCGGGCCATCTGAGAAACACGGTCTAATTTTGAATTATATTATGGGCCATCCGGAAACAGTCTCTCTATTATAGTATAGGGCCATAGGGGTAAGACTGCGTACATCCGACCTTACCCCGAGCCTTTGCAGCACTGGGGTAATGATATGATGATGATGATTATGGCATTAAACCATTCTGGCAGTCCTTGTTATGACTCAGAGCCCAACATTATTAGCTTTGTTTTTATAATACTTAGACCAATAATTTGTGGTTTATGCATTTAAGCGGCTAAATGCTTCATCTTCTCAATCTATTTCATTATGCAGATTGCATCTCTCAAAGATGCACTATCTAAAAGAGATGAGGAGATGGACAAATGGCGTCTTGGGAAAGATATCAAGAATGTGATGCTGGGAAGCAATGGAGAAAAACGTAGTGTGAACTCATTGAGGTATTCACTCCCAAAATAACATTTATCAGTTAAATCTAATTAACAATATAATTTGGAAAAGTTTGACATTGCACCCTATGATTCGAGTCCTTAGGTAATTCACCCCTTGATCTATTTCTTTTATAAAGCACTCCAAAGTTGGTGCATAGTCAAATATTAAGGTAAATGAATGGGGTGGAATGTCTAACAGAAAGGACCCGTTTTGGGGTGTATCATCAAAGGATTAAAAACATGATGGGAAAAGTCAAATATTGGGGTAAACCATTAGGCGCAAAATGAGAATTTTCCTTAACACATGTTTGTTCTCTCTTTAGGTTTGTTTGGGACTTGGATATATACTATGGAAAGAAAATAGGGAGTAGATTTGAAGGCAAGAAAATTTGGAAAGTAATGAATGATACACGCAAACTCCAGAAATTTGAAGGCAAGAAAAATTGGAAAGTAAATGATACATGCAAACTCAAGAAATTTGTTTTTGATATATCTTCAGACTCATTTTCCAAATCCAAATATAAATACAAACATAAGCAAATAGCAAATAACTCCATTTGGGGGGGGGGGTGGTGTTTGGATCTGATTCTTAAAACTGCTTCTGCTCTTTCAGGGAGCAGAAGCAGCAGAAGTTGCAGTGTTTGGGTGAAAGTGCAGAAGTGATTCTGGTGCTCTAATTTACTCCAAGAATCAGTTTTTTTGAAGACAGGGGAGACCAGCTGCTGAAAATTGTTGCCGATTCTGCTTCTGCTTTAAAAAAGAAGCTGAAGCAGAATCAGTTCCAAACACCCCCTTAGCATATGTTTCCTTTCCCTAGCATCTTGTGACATGTCCTTACTATATCTTTCTTCCAATCTGTTTGTCATGTATGTTTTCTATTGGAAGCAAGTTTATATAGTACCAATCTGTTTATTGTTTTCTCCATGCCATCATATTTCCTCTTTGCAGACACTAAAGAATAAGGCACTGAGTACATTCAACCAAATGAACGCATGGCTAAAATAAGACGAGACACAATTTATACCATCAAAAATTCAAGATCATCACTTGAAGATTACCAAGGGATTCAAATCCTTAAATGCATCACTCAACTGGTATGGAACTATTGTTCCTTCTAGTTTCTTGATCTGAATCATATGCAAAAGTAATGCTATATCTGCAAAATATTTCATTCGGCGCTTCTAATCAGATTCAATCAGGCTAACTTTGATCGGTTTTTCGCCAATAGCAAATCCATATTTTTTGCTCAATTGTGGCAAGTATTAATTGAAACTGCTAGATCATTTCGCCAAAAGCAAATCCATATTTTTCGCTCAATTATTCGTTCATTTCTAATGCCGAGAAAGTTAGTTCATAGCATCTACCTTTGAAAGAAATCGAAGATATAATGATTGAAATCATTATTTGATACTAACAGAGCAAAAAAATGAACCTTTGAAGTTGAAGTGATGCAATGACAAAACTGGCCTGATCTCATGCACCTGAAGTGCTCATGCTATATTATAATGTTTTTTTGGGTCTGATCATACAAGTTAAAGGTGTTTTATTATGATTTTGGAATTTTTGATTTTTCGTGTGTATGATGTTTGGGATATTATCTATTGTGGATGCATGTATAAGCACGCACACACACATGTATATAGATACATACATACACACACGCACACACATATACATATGTAAGCATATATTGATTTCTGTATTCAAGAAATCTTAGCAGCACAAAAGGTGCCAAAGCATGAACTCGATCCCAGTCCAAAAATTCCCTTGGGCTAGTTTGTTTTTTATTTTAGTTTTCTTTTCTGTAATGTTCTTATTTCCCTTCCCGAATTGTACTCATATTTTTTTCAATAAAATTTCCTTTTATATAAAAAAATGTAAGCATATATTGAATATCTATACATACATATGGGGAGGCTCTAATGAGAACCCCTTACAATGAAAACTTCTTATGATGAGAGCTTATAATCTCAACCTTTCATCCTATTCAATCATTAGCTAGCATGCATGTGGTGCCTTTTTTGTAATCATGCAAAACTCAAACAGGCTCCTGTTTGTGTGTGCGTGCGCACATTGTCTTTATATATAGGAGAAAATAATTAAAATAACCTGAACTTTAGGTATGTGTGATATCACCACCCTAAACTTGTTTGTGTTGATATTGTATCCCCTTATTTGACTGATATGAGAAACTAGTACCCTACCTTTTGATGTAGGCATCTGACTAGAAATAATTCGCCACCTACCAAGTTGAAAGTCGTAGCTATGACGGTGGAGATAACCCAAACAGCTTCACTGTGATAAATTATTGTTCTCTTAAGTTCACTTTGAGGTTTTCTTTATCTTTCTTCTTATTTTTCATCCATGACGGAGCCCTGCGTGAATTCTTCTCTTCTCTAACCTCCCCTTAGCTTGCTTGTCCTCAAACTCTGTAATTCCTTCCTCTTCCTCCATTCCTCCCCCGTCTCCACCCGCAGGAAGATGTCCTTCCCAATCTCGGATTCGACGCTGTCTCCGGGCGGGACTCTCCGGCGGCATGTCTTGCTTAACGCTTGGCAAAAATGCAGCTATAGAAGCAGACCCGGCACCGGCAAGATTCATGGGATTGTTTCCCACCCAAATCTCCCTCCCAATGAAATACCATATTCAATTTGATATCTGCCACCTGTTTCCCCTTATAACTCCGCCTGTTACTCTGGCTTCCATGAACATCTGCAACAAATCCCTTGATGAGTAAGGTGAATTTGAAGAAACATTCTACATTTGCAACTCCACTGTTTCTCCTTATCTCCTCACAATATGCCGTTAATTTGACCTTACATGTCGCACAACTTAAGTAGACCCAGATGCATAAATGTCTTATTTATATGTAATTTACCTTCAGTTCGACTCTAGGAATTAATCTGTATGTTGCATCCGGCTTCAAATCAGTTCCATGGTAATTCTAAAATAACATAAGCAGGTGAAGTGAAATTTCAACTGAAAGAAACGGCGGCGGCGTTTAGAACGGTGTTCGGGGTAACACATCACATATACCTAAAGTTCAGGGTATTTTAATTATTTTCTCCTTATATAAATATATATATATTTATATATAGGACTAATCAGGTCGGGTGCGCCTGATTGATAGTCTCGCCCGGCCAAGCAAGTTTGAGGGGCTTCCAAGTGGAATTTTTAATGAAATTTTTAATTGCTAATAGATTATGTATACAAAGTTTCAACTTAAAATTTAATTAGCAGGTCAGTTCAATAAGTTATTTAAAAACACTGCGCTTTATATATGTATAAAACGTGCATTGTTTTTTAACAATTTATTTATTTAAGGAAAAATGGAAACTAATAATCCAACCTTTTAGTGGTCTTCTTAGAATAGTCCCACCTTTTGATTATTCATGAATAATCCAACCTTTGCACATCATCTTCATTTACTGGTCCCTGACCGGTTGATGAACTACTATTCCAAGTTATTTTCTTATCTTTGCAAAATATTATCTTTGTGAAAGGTGAGATTTATGGTATAATGGTTTGTGGTCATAATCTACACTTCATGAAGAACATGCTCACAACATTTCATAAAAAAGATGACTCAGAAGAACCTCAAACGGGCTTGGTCGTTCGAGGCATTTGGTTTGCCCTGCCTGACCATATCAGTTCTCTCTCTCTCTCTCTCTCTATATATATATATATATATAGATACTCACTTTCGGAATTTCGGAGTTGAACCCAATTTGGATTCCCATTTGAGGTGGTTTTTCGATAGAGTTTTTTTTATGAAATTTTGTAAGCATGTTCTTGATGAAATGTAGATTCTGTCCACAAAGTGTAAGCGCAAAATTCAAACGGGGAGTCAGTTAATTTAATTATTGATAAACACTGCATTTATATATTTATATATATATATATATATATATATATATATATATATACATATATATATATATATATATATATATATATAGAAAGAGAGAGAGAGAGAGAAATGATCCTGTCCAGCACGTTTTTGTCCGAACACCGTCCGAACATGGCCATTTGGGGCCCTTCCCGGTGGAATTTTTTGATGACATTTTTTGAGAATGTTCCTCTTCAAGTCTAGTTTGTCCATACCAAATTTCAGCTCAAAACTCGATCGGGAAGGCATTCAAATCATTTTTTGAAGTTGACTGCGTTTTTTATATGTATATTTTGACGCAGTCAACTTCAACAAATTATTTGAATGCCTTCCCGATCGAATTTTGAGCTGAAATTTGGTATGTACAAACTAGACTTGATGAGGAACAAGTCTTGGCCTTCCATGACTAGGGGAAGGTTCAAGTAAAAAGTAGTCTTCGCATGAAAAGTGAGAACAAATCTTGGCCTTCCATCACTTGAAAATGGATGGATTAGATGAACTTTAAGCACAAGAGATGGTTTAAAAAAATGTGCAAGCGTTTATACTATAAAGTGAATAGTTACTGATTAAAAGTGCACTCATGCGTGTAAAAAGAGATTGTTAAAATTTTCCTGCTTGTGCACTTTTTATTTTGTACCGTATTGCACTTTTGTGCTCTACGTGTCCACTTTTTGAGTATTCTGATGCACATTTGTCACAATATTTTTAATAAAATTCTCCATAATTACAAATATGTCACCGTGTTTCCTACCGCAAAATTGATCTTTTTCATCCATTTTTTCACATCAATGGCCAAGATTAATTCTTATTTTCACCGAGGGAGTACTTTTTATTTGAACCAAATTCTATATATATATATATATATATATATGTATATATATATATATATATATGTATATATATATATATATATATATATATATATATATATATATAGAGAGAGAGAGAGAGAGAGAGAGAGAGAGAGAGAGAGAGAGAGAGAGAGAGAGAGAGAGAGAGGAATGATCCTGTCCTGCCGGAGGGACAGGATCTTCCGTCCGGCCGCCGCCGTTTGGGGCGGTTCCCGGTGGAGTTTTTTGATGAAATTTTTATGGAATGTTCCTCATCAAGTCTAGTTTATCCACAAAAAATTTCAGCTAAAAATTCGATCGCGAAGGCAGTCAAATAATTTTTTGAAGATAACTGCTCCAACTTAAACATATAAAACGCAGTTATGTTTCAAAAAATTATTTGACTGCCTTCCCGATCGAATTTTAGTTGAAATTTTTTGTGGATAAACTAGACTTGATGAGGAACATTACATAAAAATTTCATCAAAAAACTCCACCGGGAACCGCCCGAAACGGCGGCGGCCGGACGGAGGATCCTGTCCCTCCGGCTGGACAGGATCTCTTCCGTATATATATATATATATATATATATATATATATATATATATATATATATATATATATATATATATATATATATTTTGGTTCAGGTGAGAAATGCATCTAATGTGAGAAATGAGAATGAATCTCAGCCATTGGATTTACGAAGTTGCACTAAACTTGACTTTATGTTGCAGTAATATTTAAATTTTGCACATGTTGCACTAAAACTGTTTCATGTTGCACTAATATTTGACAGCGTTGCACCGAAATAGCTTCATGTTGCACTAGACACGTGTAATATGGATTTTTCAGAAGTATTTACAGAAATGCCACCGTGCTAGATTGCATATTTCAGTGCATCATGAAGTGTCTTTTACTGCAACTTAGTCGAATCCAATGGCTGAGATTTATTCTCATTTCTCACCCAAAGGGTTCTTCTCACTTGAACCTTACCCTATATATATATATATATATATATATATATATATATATATATATATAGGGTCAAGATCGGATACAAAGCACGCTTCCCGTAAAAAATACAAATTCATCTCATCCGTCAAAAATTACAAAATCAATGATAACAATTCATTGGGCCACTAACCATTAACCATTAATGGGGGATGTAATCCCTATTTTTTTGTCAATTCCAAATTAATACACGATAATCTCATTGTAAACTCATTTAAATGGATGGTTAGGATTTATTTGCACTTTGTAAATTAAGATGACTTTGTATTTGATCTTAAGTATATATATATATATAGAGGGCAGTTCATATACATAGTTCCTGAAGAGCAGGACCGTGCGGACAAGCCCATAAGAGGGTCTTCCCGGTGGAATTTTTTGATGAACTTTTTTGAGCATGTTCCTCGTCAAGTCTAGTTTGTCCATACCAAATTTCAGATCAAAATTCGATCTGGAAGGTAGTCAAAAAAATCCTGGAAAAATATGGCGCATTCTGCGCACATTTAATGTGCAGTATGTTTCCAGGATTTATTTGAGTGTCTTCCCGATCGAATTTTGAGCTGAAATTTGGTATGGACTAGACTTGATGAGGAACATGCTCAAAAAAATTCATCAAAAAATTCCACCGGGAAGACCCTCTGATGGTCTTGTCCGCACGGAGCTTCTCTTCAGGAGCTCCTGATAGGAACGAGACTCTCTCTCTCTCTCTCTCTCTCTCTATATATATATATATATATATATATATATATATATATATATATATGAGAACTCTTCCGGTCAGGAATTCCTGACCGGAACCGCCGTTTGGCCGCCTTCCGGTTAGAATTTTTCGATGAAATTTTTATGACATGTTCTCCATCAAGACTAGTTTATCCACAAAAAATTTCAGCCAAAAACTCATTCGGGAAGGTTGTCAAATGATTTTTTCAAGTTAACTGGTCCGGAAAATACATATTCCGGACCAGTTAACTTGCAAAAATCATTTGACGACTTTCCCGATCGAGTTTTTGGCTGAATTTTTGTGTGGATAAACTAGACTTGATGGAGAACATTCCATAAAAATTGCATCAAAAAATGCCACCGGGAAGGCGGCCAAACGCCGCCTTCCGGACGGCGGTTCCTGTCCGGAAT